AAAACCTAAAGTATAAGTTATTTATTCATTTAAATATTGGCAATCTTTGAAGTTGATTCCAAAAAGGATTATATTCTACTGCCCTCTACAATTGTCCCTTTCCCTCCACACTCCCCTATCCAAAAGGGTCAAGTGCTGGGTTTCCAAAATGCTTCGGAAAGTCTTCCACCTATACACTGTTGGTCTTGAACTTAAACTCTACTTTTGATCTACAACTTTAAAGTTTTTAAGGAAAAAAATTCTGATCTACAGTTTTTAAGAAAAACCTTAATTCCAAAGCTTCTGCTGGTTCTTTGCTCAACTAAAGATGGAGACTCAAATTCACCTTTGGAAGTATAAGATGAATTTCTTGTTTGGGGGCAGGGGAAGGGAGTCTTGAGTACAGAAGAACTGGGGTTCACCTGTGGGGTAAATCTATTTGAAGAGATGCTGTAGCAACTGGCATGGCTATTTAAAAAAAAAAATAAGCTACATGGAGGAGCAGATACACTCAAAGCAGTATAAAATGCTGCTCTAAACTATAACTGGGAAAGTGAAAGCATTCCCTTGTGATTCTCAGAAATTCTTGGGAAAGGCACGTACTTTCCATGACATTAAAGGGAAAAATGAACTCAAAAACTGGAAAAGTTGTGGTCACTTAAGTTTTGATTGTAAGATATAGTTTACCTCTGTTTCCAAAACACTTTCCTACTCCAAAACCACCCATTGTGGAAGTATTCTCTCTTTTATTAGACTCGCCAGCATCTGAAAAAGTTCAGATAAGAGTTAAAATTCTTTAACATAAAAAATTAAGCATGGCATCAAAACTAAGAATTAAAAAATCTTTGGGATAAGGAGACTTTCAAGGATAGGGAGAGAGTAGTGCAGAAACTTTTAAAGATATAATATGCCTCAATTTCTTTTTAAAAAACTCTTAAATTATGATATCAAAGTAAAAACAAATATACTACTGGTGAAAGACAGCTTTCTATTAGTTGTTCTTTTACTAGTGATCTTTAATCAGAAAATTCAACTCTGTGATATTCTGTATATTAAGTCTCACCCTGATAGTGCCAGTTACTTAAACTATCCCCCTGTGTGAAAGTCACTGTTATTGAAAACTTTATATTCTTGTCCTGTTTTTAGTTATTCAATTTATTATGTATTCATTTTCCTAGTACTTAAATCATTCTCGGTCTTTATACTTTTAATATTCAAATGAGGAAGAGACTACATAATAAAGGGAAAAAAAGCTATGCATACCACTCCTCCTCACTTCCCCTCCTCTCCCCAGTATCTCTGCATATTAGCCTTCTTAGCTTTATCTCTTAATACACAACTCTAAACACCCAACTTTTAATTCACACCAATTTCCCATACACCACATCGCGGACATCTAGTATTTTGTGCCTTTCTACATGTTGTTCCTTCAGCATGGCATCCCCTACTTTCCTATTCTTCCTATCAAAATGATTTTCATTCTTCAAAAGCCCAGGTCAAAGGCTATCTCTTCTATACAGTCTTCCTTTAGTCCTCCAGTCATAATCCATCCTTACTCCACATTCCTACAGCACACTATCTGTATCTCTTTTGAGTAACATTTCTTTTCATGCGTTTCTCTACCACTACATCAAGAATTTTTCAGAGTAGAGTTGCTATGGCAAAGAGCATGGTTATTTAAAACAAAAAAATTTAACAACAGACATCCAAAATGGCATAAACTGCCACTTTAAATGATCACTGGGAAAAACTAAAGCATTATCTTGTGATCCTCATAAATTGTCTTATCTTTGTAACATCCCATTAAAAGGGAGTTTAAGGATCTAAAAACTCCAAAGCCACATGCAAAATTGTGTATGAGCAACCATCAGTATTTTCATAGGATTGTAAAGATGTGCGTGGTTCAAGAAGTTAAAGCTATTAAGGCCATAGTTCACAGAACATGAAAACTAATCAATATTATATTTTAAGCAATTAAGAGTCAATTTCAAAAAACACATTACTAGCTATGCAAGTTCTGAGGAAAAATATCATAGAGACTGAAATTAAAATGTTAGATGAATCACAAAGAGAAATTATACTTATAAGTCTGTGAATTTCCAGGATTACATGTAGAATAAAGATAACTTTTTATGTACCAACATTCATCAAAGAGTTTTGATCAGAAGTTTAATGTGGATTTCAACCTAAAGCATATGGAATTAACAATTTGTAGTAGAATCTGTCTGATTTTCTCATTTTTTAAAAAAAGCTTTATTCAACAAGGTATAGAAGTCTGCATCAAAAAGTATCACATAACCTATCCTAAATTAGGATTTTAAAATATATTTAAATACTAAATATTCCCTTGAGTGTAATAAAGATATTTATTATTTCTAACGTTAGTAACAGCAAAAAAAAAAAAAAAAGCCCACCCCTGAACTTCTTAGCAGAATTACATGGTCCAAAATGTCAACGCCTCTTAATATGTAGATTTAAAAAACAAAATATATATGCATATTTAAAGAATAAATTATTTCCATTAGTAGCAGGAATATGTCAAAATAAAAAATTCACATTTGTGTTAACTGTATCTAAACAAGAAATTAAGTTTTCCAAATATCAAATGAAATACCACACACCAACCTTTAGTTTCCAATGAATAAAAATATCTAGAAATAGCAAAGTTTTCAAAGAATAGTATCTAATAAATTCAATAAGTGTTATGTATATTTAAAACTGCCAATTAGTCCTAGCTTATGGCATCCCATAAAAGAAACAGTCATAAGGATTTTTAAATTTGAGATTCTACTATTTTATTGCACTATAATAACACATAGTGCAGAATATTTTCAGCATTTTACTATCAAATCTAAAGATGTACTGTAGGGAGGTATTTTACTGTGTCATTGTCAGATCAAGTAGTAGTTATTGTTCTAAAAGTAACAATAAAAAATTTCAAGCTTGGAAAAATAACCTCTTAATACTAATGAGATAACAGAAATGCAAATATAAAACTTAAAAGGTCCTTTTCACCCTAATTTCTGAAGCTTTTACAAGCATTCTTCTTATGCCAATTGCTGGAAAGCAATAATCATAAACATATTACGAAGTAGCTCTGCGAAGAAACTAATTTTAACCAATTTATCTAACTAATCCATCTAATCAATTAAACAATTTCCTACTATCTCAAAAAAATAAAATAGCAGAAAAGAACAACGGAATTTGAAAAAATGATGAACTCATTACCCCAACAAAGTCTACTATACACTGAGCTATCAGATTTAATTTTGCACTAAACAGCCATAAAAGCCTCTATTCATTCCACTATTCAACTGTTAAGAAGATTAAGAAAAGACAAAGCTACTTACCTCTGTTTCCCAAACTCCTCCCAGAGGCAAATCCGCTTCTCATGAAATGATCTCTTCGAGAAGATCCATCATCTATTTCTAAAGCAAAGAATATTATGAAGCAAGTCAAAAATAACAAGAATTTGGGTGGTATGCAAACTTTATACCTTTTCGATGTGCCACTCACATCGCAAAGGAGGAATTTTATGTAACAATGAGAAAAATGAATAGTCTACTAGAAAAACGGGCTATAAATAAGTATAGGTAGTTCTCCAAAGAAAAATAAATGGTGACTAATCTCACTCATAATTAAAGAAACTAGAAATCAAGAGGAGATACCTTTTTCCAACCACATGATTGACTGGAAAACAGTTTTCAGTTTGCTAATATCGAAAAATAGTCAAGGACGTAGGGAAGCAGCACAAATCATAAACTATATCGAAGCTACACACTGGATCGATCTTGGTCCTAATTTTTTTTAAATATATTTTTTGAAAGTATACTAGTATGAATTTTTCCTCTAGATATACTCACATGGTAACACAGTTACATAAAGATGTTTTTATAAGCATTGTCTGTAATAGCTAGAAAAACTGATCAAAGAATAGGTTAACCATAGTCATCGAAAGACTACTGTGCACTTTCATAGAACTATATAGCATCCAACATTAAAAAATTGACGTTTTTCAATAGACAGAATGTGTATAAAAACTGATCACAAAGGAGGCCACAATGCAAATTTAGTAACGAATATCAAAAATCTATATCATATACACAAAATTCTCTAAACATAATGTAATCAAATGAAAAGTCATTAAATACAAAAAAAACTTGTTTAAAATCCTCTTATATTTGGATATATTAAAAACACTATATAGCTCACAACTCAAAGAAAAATATGACAATGGAACTTTATTTAAAATTGTAAGATAAAAATGTTACTTGTCAGTATCTAAATTTTTAAACTAGAAAATAAGAACTCAAAATTAATGAGCTAAATGGCCATCTCAATTAGTAAGAATTTTAGGAAAATAAAGAATAAAATCACCCAAATGAAGGAAAAAGAGTAGTAATTAATAGAAAACAAATGATAGAGGGGCTCAACAAAGCTAAAACCAAGTTCTTTAAAGAACACAATAAAAACTTGCCTGAGTAATAAATCACTAGAAGACAGTGCTTTTGTTCAAGGCTTATTTTACTTAATAATGGCCCAAAGCACAAGAGTAGTGATGCTGGCAATTTGGATATGACAAAGAGAAGCCATAAAGTGCTTCCTTTAAATGGAAAAGTGAAGGGGAAAGATTTTAAAAATCCCCAATACTTCCCTCTCACAAACAGTCTAGTAAGAATTCAAATCATTCAAAAATGGGTAATAAAGAAATCAGCAAAGGCATCATAGAATCTGTACAATACAATGAGGAAAGATAAGGAGGGAAGGACTGATAAAATAGGAAAACAAAATAGAAGGCATAGTTTAAAAAACTTATATTCTCCAGACCAGATGATTTCTCTCTAGGGAAACTGCTCTCCCCAACAAAATAGCCTGGTCCCCACCCAATCACTTGATAGTAGAGCCCATCTGTCAAGCTGTGTCCATGCACACAGAGTTTTCAATCAGTATTTTATGTTCCACTCTTAAATAACAAAAGGGCAGGCAAGAATCTCCAGACTTTTGAAGAAAGACGCCTATATAAAAGACACAGATTAAAACAGAGGGAAAAATGTCTAAGAAACAATAAAGGGAACAGAAATAACTTTCAAATTAAGTTATATTAATCCTCAGAAAAAAATTAAGAAAATTTCTTACAAGAACATGAATTTCAGATTTAACAGATCCACCAATTGTCTTGTACAATAAAAAGACCCACACATCAAGGAACATAAATAATTATAAAATTTTCAGAATACAGAAGACAAAACAAAATCTTAAAAATTTTAGAAGTTATAAGAAAAATAGTCATATAAAGGACCGGGACTCATTAATTACCCAACTTCTCAACAGCATCACTAGAATTTCATGTACAATGAAGAAATATGAAGTTTGGGAGGAAAATTGTTTCCAACCTAAAATTCTACTCTTAAACTATTAATCACGCATGAAGGTAAAGACATTTGCAATATCTCAAATTTATTTCCCATGCTTCCTTTCTCAAGCAGCTTCAGGAAAATAGGCTCCACCAAAGTGGCAAGGGGAATGTGACACAATCACATTCTATCTTGGGACGAGAGCCTAAAGGGCAGCAAATCTATACTGAAGCAGATGAATAGAAGAATCAAAGAGGAGGATTTTAAAAAATGAAAGTGATAGATCACTCTGTGCTAGAAACTAACCGAATGAATGAACCCTCTGGCAGAGGGAGTGAATGAGCAATTGAAACACAGAAGAGCAAGTACACAAAACAAGGTAATAACTCTAGTAAAAACAAAACAAAGGTGAATAATAAAGGAAATATAGCCATAACAGATTGCATGGCTCAAATGTGAATGATATGCACAGCCACGATGATGCAAAAACTGAATATGAACTTTTAAGCAAAAAAATGTGATAACTATTAGGTGAGTGGTAAGGGAAGAAGTGCGAGTGGGGTGTGCAGGGAGAAGAGGAGCTAAATACTCATGTTCCATAATAAGAAGTCAAATGAGGAATGAGAACAGGGACTAAACGTTTTCAATTATAAGCTGTGAAGTTACTATTTGACATTTTAAAACCAGATAATGCGATTTTTTTTAACTGTAAAGAATTAGATTATACCAGTCAACTTAGAAGGGTTTCCATGATTAAGTAAAAGCAAGATTCCATTTTTGTGAAACAGACAATGAAAAGAAACATGGCTAAATAAAATTTTAAGATCATGAAAAGGTATGAAAGATAAGGGTATGCTATGAGAGGTAAGCAAAGGAAAAGCAAGACTGGTATTTATGATAAAAAAGAACATTTATATAACATGTCAGTGGGATACAATTTTATATGTGGGAATACATGCAAAGATCTAAAAAGTCAGACTGTCAATGCTGGCGAAATCTGAGAGCCAAGATTTCAGATCATTTTATTTCTTTTTACCTCTGCATTTAAGTTTTTTCTTTTTGTTTTTGTGGGGGGTTTTGCAATAAGGATATTTAGATAATCATTTACTATACATCTATTGGCCTGGTATGTATTTCTGTAAAAAGAACACTTACTTTCATGAAAAAAAATTTTAATTAAAAAGAACTACAAAAGTACTAGTTATCCAGAAGAAAGTAAGCAAGCAATCTATATTTCTCATTAACTGATTTCATTTCATTAGCCTGAACATTCAGAGATATAATGCTAAGAAAAGTCCTTTTAGTTGCTATTTCTTTCAATCTAGTTTCTTGAAGATTTCACCACAAAACAATGTTATGCTTTAATATACATCAGACCTAAACTTTCATCTCTTTACAAAAACTGGCTTCTGACACCTCAAAGAATGAGGTTTCTTCCAATTACACAATGATTCATGCAAATAGGTGAGTTAAAAATATAGATTATCTTTATTCATTTGTATTTTTTAAATATTTCAGGTACACATACATGCACGTAGTTCACAGAGTGAAAGCAAAGTTAGCCTTTTGCTGGGGTTTCAGCAGGCAGCAATTTCATGAACTTTTACGAATCTGACTATTCTATAGTAAACTACTGCATCTAAATGTTTATGAAAGATAAATGTATCTTGACAATAACAAAAGCATCTCTTCTAAATTTAACTTCTTTTTATCAGGAGAATTACTCTAAACTTAAGGTGAACATGGAAATTAAATTTGCTTTAATCTGATGAACTCTGACTCTCAAACTCCACATTTTAGGTACTTCTCCACAGGTTTTTTCACTTTAGGACAGGCTTCAGTGAGCCAGTAACTCCCTTGACTACAAAATATTTCATCTCATCCACTAAATTTTGATGACAGAAATGATATAACTACTTGGTGCCATCACTTTCCACCAGACCCTCTCCCATGCACTACAGTAAAACTTAAAAGTAGTAGTCACTCAATTCATAGACACTCATAGTATTTTCATAGTAACCCAAATTCATAGACAGTAGAATGGTGGTTTTCAGGAGCTGGGGAGAAGAAGGAATGGGGAATTATTGTTTAATGGATATGAAGTTTCAGTATGGGAAGATGAAACAGTTCTAGAGGTAGATGATGATGCTAGTAGTACAGCAATGTGAATGTATGAATTTTCGATCCATGGTTGGGAATCTGAAGATGTAGAGGGCCAATTGCATGCATTGTTCTATGCCATTTTATATAAGGGACTTGATCAACCAAAGACTTTTGACCATGCAGGAGATCAGTGCCCATAACTCCCGCCTTGTTCAAGGGTCAATTATACTTAATGCCAGTAAACTATACACTTAAACAGTTAAAATGGAAAATTTTATGTTATGTGTTTTACCACTATAAAAAAATTTTTAAGACAGTAGAAATAGTATTTTAGCTTGCTTTGGATGTCAACGAAATGAAAGACAATAGCCATGAGTTTAATTTCCCAGCCCAAGTCCTATCATTTCTACCCATGTTTCTATCTACGACTTTATAAAATATTTAGGCAATCAGCTAGAAACAATTGGAGGGAAAACAGCAGATCCCTTAGATTGACTGTTTAGTTTATTCTCCTAGGACCTTTCCTATACTAATTTTTGGATATCAAAGAAACTCATGGTATCGTGATAGAATGGCAGGTTTCGTTTAAACAGCTATTATCCTGACAGGTCATCATCATTACAATCTGCTTCAACTTTATAGTCAATCACCTACTCCCTGACAATTCCCTAGCAGCCTGAAAGCCAAAAATGCAACATCCAGGTTGGGTAAAGGTTTTATGACAAACCCACTAAGTCAAATAATACAGTCTATAGCACTATACTCTCTCCTCTCTCCCTTCCTCTAACTAGAAGTGGCCTCCATCCCAAAATATCCAAATAAGAATGAATTCTCAGTAGGAAATTTTTTTTTTTTTAGGCGAGGCTAACTTGGTTGACCTCACAGATTGCAAGGACCTTGTCAGCTTACAATCCTTTATTGTTTATTTTTTACGCCTACAGCACCTGGTCTTCCTAGGTGGTCTCCCATCCAAGTACTAACCAGGCTCAACCATGCTTAGCTTCCAAGATCAGACGGGATCGGGCTTGTTCAGGGTAGCATGGCCATAGACTCAGTAGGAAATTTTAAAAACACCTCTATAAGATGCCTACTAGTCTGCTTCTTATTCACTAGATGAAGCCCTTAACCAAAAAGGGTTCCTTAACACATACCTGATGAAGCTGGAGTCCTGTTAAAAGTGTCTCCATTTGCTCCAGAAGAATACCTATCCTGTAAGAAGGAAGAAAAGATGAGTTTTCCACTTTGAATAATAAGTATGTATAATCTATTTCACAAATACTAGAAACTTAACAACTAGGCTTTGTCCAAAACAAAACTGATAAACTGTAAGATTTCCTGGGTCACTGAATGTTCCTTTATAAATTATTCCAAAATCTTCACTTTAACACTGTATGTATAGCATATTAATACATCACTTAAAACAGTGGTCAGAAAACTACAGCTATGAGCCAAATCCATCAGACACACTTTGTTTTCGTAAACAAAGTTTTATGGGAACGCAACCACCCTCATTCTTCTAGGTATGTCTATGGCTACTTTCACACTATAATAGCAAAGCTGCAACAGAGACCATAAGACCTGCAAAATCTAATATATTTACCATCATGCCTTTTTATGGAAAGAGTTTGCTGACACCTGACTTGAAAGTCTAGCCACTCATATATCTGAAAAGTATAATCAAATACTATTATTATATAAATACAATCTAACCAAAGTAATACATGAATAAATCAATGCCTGCCAATACATAATATAGTTTACAGAGTTCAGTATTTTACAGTATATTCATCAATACTATATAGAGCATAGACAGAGAGTAGGGGATAACAGTTTCTACAGTAAATTACTAAAGAAATTTATTTTTAAAACTTCAATTCTGTTTATGTAAAGAGAAATAAATTAATGTTTTTAAAAGGAATTCACTCTAACTTAAAGAATACCTCACTTATGCACTAAAAAAAATGTACCTGTATACGTATCTTGCAAGTGCACTACGTATACAAATAAAGTGGTACATATCAGCTATAGGATCAGGATATTCATGGTTAATTTCAATCAAACTTGTCATAGCGATAGTTGAAGACTGTTTCTGATACTCCTTTAGTCTCAAAAAAAAAAAAAACATTCACTGTTGATGCATATGCATTATATTTGCAGTGGTATAATGACTATTGCACTCAGAAAATTCAACTTTTGTTATATAATCAATAGCTAAATGGCAAGTTAATTTTGGAATCTTCTAACATTTCTCAGGGTATCTCAGAGTTCAGGACAACTTGAACGACTTTTTTCTCACTTCCAGTTCCCATGGTGTCCTTATCTTCAACCTATTCCTTTACTTCCTCTCATAGAAGCTTCCTCTACTTACAACAAAACTTTCAGAATAGAACACTGAAATCTTGCACATGAAAATTGCAATTCAGTAATTTAAAAATAAAAGGTGACCTAAAAGTTATAGATACCTTAATTACTAACTACATTAGAACAGCCACAACATTCGTTCAAATAAGTTCTTTTAAACAAACCCAAAGGTAGAAGGAATGCACCAAAGTAGGTATCTTCAGGTAATACTTATTTTCTAAAATTTCTTTCACAAAAGACACTAAGTGACTTTAAAAACTACTTTTACAAAGCTTGAGAGTCTTCCAATTATCCTTCTGAGTTATTAACAGAGGAAAGACAATAGCATCCTTGAAATGCCTTGGGCTTTTCAAGGCATTAAAAGTTCCAATTTATGATTACCATAGACATTAAAACAAATCTTAGTGATTCAGTTTTCCGTATTTAAAAATTCAGATTCCCTTCCAGCTATTGTACTTCTCTGACCCTCTTAAAACAAAATGTCTTGTCTATAGTCACTGCCCACACTTTCTCATATCCTATTTTTTTCTTCAAGCCACTCCAGTCTAGCCTCCATCCTTACGTCTGCACTGAAAATGCTTTTTATAAAGTAATCATGTAATAAAATTACTACTTTTATGTTTCATCCTGCCAGAGCCCTAACAGCATTTAAAATGACATACTATTTCCATCTTTTTTACAACATTCTGCTCTTGGCTTAAGGAACACACACTCCCCTGGTTTACTTCTTGCCATATTAGCCATACCCACACCTCAATCTCCTTTGCCAGCTCCTCTTCTACTGGACCTCTAAAGCTGGACTGCCCCAGAGTTCATGGCAGAGCCCTCTAAATTTCACTCTATTGAACTTTACCAACCTCATATCTTTAAATCTCATTAATATACAGATAATTTCCAAATTAATATCTTATAATCCTGATTCCTCTCATAAGCAATAAATTCATATAATCTACTGATTGTTATCCTTACTAATAGGTTTTCAGTCATCTCAAATTGAACACAACAAATCCGGAATTCTTGGATTATTTTTCTCTCCCAAATTTGTTCATCTTCCATAGATTCCCCATATCAGTAAAAGACACCATCATTCATCTAGTTGCTTACATTTAAAAATCTAGCCATCTCCCTTGATTCCTCTTTCACTCCCCATAACTAGTCTATCCAGTCTAATCAACCCTGTGTCCACGACTGCCTCTGGGGTGTGTCTGCCCCTGCCTGTCTGCCCCTGTCCCACCCCTGTCTGTCTCTGTCTGTCTCCTTCCTTCCCTCCCTCCCTCTCATTTTCCCTTTCCTTCTCTAACTTCATTTTCTACCACTCTTGCCTTATCTCACTGTGCTTTAACCATACTAGCTATTAGTAGGTTGAATAATGGCCACCCAAAGATATCAATTCCTAATCCCTGAAACTTGTGAATGTTATTTGGAAAAAGAGTTCTTGCAGATATAATTAAAAATTTGGAAATGAGATTACTATGGATTACCTGGGTGAGCCCTAAATGTTATCACAAATGTTCTTATAAGAGAAAGGCAAAGGGAGTTAACACAGACACACAGGAGGCCATTTGAAGACAGTGCAGAGAGAGATGGAGCCACAAAAGCCAAGAAATGACTATTGCCACCAGAAGCTAGAAGAAACACGGATTCCCTCCGAGAGCCTACAGAAGGACAGCTCTGCTGACATCTTGATTTCTTCTGGCCTCCAGAACTGTGTGAGAATAAATTTCGCTGCTTTAAGCCACTCAGCAACTTGTTAAAGCAACCACAGGAAACTAAGATACTGTACTTCCTAATGTCCTGATAACCCAAGTTTGTTCCCTCCACAGGACCCTTGCACGTGATGTTCTGTTGGGACTCTTTCATGTCTCAGGCTCACTGGTCATTGTCCAGGGCAGCTTCTCCTCTCCATCTAATCTACCCCCACATACCCCAGTCACACACACACATTTTCCTCCATTTTTTTCATAACACTTTTATTTATAATTATTTGGTTCTCAAATGTGCTTATTTCTGTCTTCCCCTGTAAAACATAATGTCCATGACAGCAAGCACTTCATCATGTTCACCGCTATCTCTAGTATCCAGTAGGGCTCAATAAAAATTTATTAGATAAACCATAGGTCTCGTCATCAGTTTACTTTTAGAACACTTAGCTGCAAACCGCTTACAACCTTTTAAGCCATCCAATAAACCAATTTAGAAATTCCAAAATGTTTACACATAAGGGCAAATGCAGCTACAAATATTTCTCCTATGCAGCTGCAAATAATCTGTATTATCATGAACACATTTCTTTTCACCTTGTATGTACTCATTATTTGCAATTCTGGAATATCACACTTATTAAAATTCTTTTATCTTTTCCAAGCAAATGAATACTTCCATTAAGAGGGTAAGTTGTTTTTCTTTCTAAATGTGGACCTCAAATCCTTTTCAGGTCTGCTACTCAAATAGACTTACAGCTGGACAACTTATGAACCTTGAAGATGCCTCTTCCCTTTCCAGATTAGGGTACAATGCAGACAGTTCCACATTTTCCTTCCTCAGCCCCTAAGTCCTTTGCAAATATTTCTCTTTCATTTTTATGTCCAGAATCCCCTGAAACACACCAGAGTATTACATCAACTCGTATCGAATAATTAGACCTCATCTGCTATTCTAGGTTCCATGTCAAATAGAGCTGAGTAATGTCATTCAAAGAAACTGACCAGACAGGTTACATCAGATAGTGTGCCACATAAATTTAAATTAGAACAAAATACATCTCTCCTCCTTTAGTCTCACACAGAAATTAAAGTCCCAAAATACAGACAATACCATCCTCCATATATCAATCCTAATCATATCAGCCCCATTCACAACCCCAACTGAAGTCTGGTCCCTTCCTCAGTCTCTTCAGCAACTGCTGTGTGGAGTTATCTTCTAGAAGCCTCTCCTTCAGCACTATCAGAGCTGGAGAACTCAAACTCTGAGTCTCATGTGTCACTTATAGACCCAAAGTTCCAGGGAGCTATCAGGTCACACAAGAAAGAGCAAAGCACCTCAAAATTTAGAAATAACAACCAGAACCCAGGAACAAATGTGATTGCTGCAAGAGTTTATAATCTATGTCCTAATTTCTGTATGTAAGAGCATTTTCCAAATAAATGTCCCCAAACGAAAACATTTAACAATCAAAACTCACACTGAGGTCATCGACCACAGACTATAGCAAAAACCTAGTGTAACTGAGGACAGCATAGACAGAGAAAAAAAGAAAGAAAAAAGACTCTGGTTTTAGTTTCTCCCAGGTATTAGCCAAGCTCCATTAATTGACTAGAATACATTGTCTAGTCAATAAGATTCACTTTTCTCTATCCTCCAGACTAGCTCAACCAAAATCTCTGCCATGTTTGCAATCTCCTTAGTCTTCTAGGCCTTCTCACACCTTTCTGTCACTCTGCCCTTGACTCCATCATTTAGGTTTTGAAGATGAGTCAGAGTGCTTTCCTCCAAAGGCCACCACCTGAGTTTTTATTGGGATGAGTGTGTTGTCCATCTCCACAACTTGCTCCTATTAAGCATATACAATCTTCCATGTTCTAAATTAAGAGACACAAAATCCTCCCACATCTCGTTGATAACTAGCAGCAGAAATTGCTAGATTCTTCCTCAGGCTACAGGCTTCAAGGCTCCTTAGCTCTGCCAACTCAATGATGTCCAAGGGACCCATTTTTTTCTGCTACTTCAGAACCCCAGTATGGGATGTGAACAGAGACAAAGCGAACTTATTTTCTTACCTAAATAATTATTACAAATTTTGCTGCTTCTGTTTAATAATATATCTATGGATGAACTAATTATCTCAAGGTGTTTCCACTTTAATCAGAGAGTATTTGCCTCTGCCACACACACACACAAAAGCATACAAATCAGAAGTGATCATTGTGTAGACTTACTCTCGTGGTCAACTAACAAGAAGCATTCCAGCTAGTAAGTAAACCCAATAGCCTGTTACAATCACCATACTCATTCATTCCAACACTCATCCTAACAAGCTTGCCTGCAATGTACAAATGTCCAAGCATTGAGATTTCTGGACCATACTAAATTTCACACACCCTATACAATAAATGCACAGTATGCTACAGTGTAGTATAATATTTGAAGAGCACTTAATGAAGGCAAAATCTCAGACTGAGACTAAAAATTACAAAGGTGACTATTAAAGTCTAATGGAAAAAAGTCTGTATCTGTAAATTAAACTTTACATTAAAACAAATCTATTGAGAACTAGGGGTGGGGGGGATAGGGAAAAAACCATAAAATATCCTTTGACCAAGTAATTCCATTTTTGAAAATAAATACTTCCAAATTAAGAGAAAATAAAAATAAACTGTAGATACTCATGACAATATTACAGTGAAAAGTTAACATCATCTTAAATTCACACTAACAGAAAATCAATTACATTATAGTAGATCCTTTCCATAAAATGTTATGTAACCACAAGAAATTATTTTTAGGAAATTAGTAAAATGCAATGGTTAGTGAAGAGTGAAAAGCCAGAATCAAATTTACAGTTGTAATTGCACTATCATTACAATCTATAAGAACATGTTTGGGGGAAAAAAAGAAGAAAATTTACTAAAAATTCAACAGGAGTGCTTGTTTTAGTGAGCAAGGCTGTAAGGTGATTTTTTTCTTTTCTCAATGTTGTTATATTTTTAAGATGAGAAGACTATAAAAAGATAACACACAAAAGATGTTATTTCTAAATTAAAGGCCCAAAACAAGAAACATGATAAATTCAGATTAATATCTAGAGTATTTTATATAAATTTTACATATGGATCAAGTCTAATGAAAACAAAGGATTGCATATTTTATATTTTTGTGTGAAATAAGAACTCCCACTAAGACATGACTTGAAATCAGAAAAGTGTCAGAATTGACTAAACTCAGAAATACTGGAAATTCTAAAAGAAAAAAAAATCTACTTTTGGAAAAATTTTCAAGTAGATATAACATTTTTGCCAAAACAATCTTTTAAAATATATCATCTTCTAAAATAACATCTGTTAAGCTTAATTTATTTAAGTCAATTTTCAAGTCAGAACTGGAACCCAAAAAACTACTCCAGGATCCCTTTGTCTGAATTACAGTGTAACTCCTTAAATGCCATTAAGGAAAAAGATCTGATGATTTGTACATTTGAAGATCAAACTGATGAAACCACCTGAATCAGCCTAACATATTTATCTTGAGATCCCTCCTTGTATAAAACCAATTTTCTGAATTCAAAATGCCACCTAGAATCAAATTATATTTTTCAATTTTCTATACAAGTATCTCTCGGAAACATTCAACTACATCTGTACAAGCTTGCTTTCAACCACGATAAGTCCTAAATCAATGAGATTTAAATTAAGTTATTAATATTATTACATATATTTTAGATTTTAATTAGCAAATTGTCTCAGATTATTTTATTCTATTGAGGCTTAGCGTGTTTCTTCATTCTCCGTAACAACAATCACATGGAGATAAGCGCGGCATCCTTAAACAGACTATGTAATTTAACACTTTCCCACCACAGTGATTTTCAACTTTGATAAAATCTGTAGCATTTAATAACTGCAAACTTTAAATTTTACTACCTTCTCAAATACAGGAACGTAGGAAGACACATGAGGTTTAATTATTTCTGCTTCCCAATCTTCATCTCCCATGGTGGGTTCCCGTCTATTTTTATAAAAATACAAACACACATATTGGGCCTCAATCAGATCAGAATTGTATCTTTAAAAGCATAAACTATCACCATTTTACATACATTTCCTGAAACTACTCAACTAGGTGATTTTCCCACAAAAGTTTTTGTAAAAATGGGGAATTAAGTTTTGTTTTTTATGCAGAGGTGGCATTTACATTGACCTTTTTATCTTTAAACATTAGTTGGATCACTAGCAATCACCATGTCCCCACCGATGCTTAGGCTTTTCCCTAAAAATCTGTTCATAGAATTTATCTTTTTCGAAGGGTTCCCAAATGACTTACTGGATATTTAGGGGAGGAGAAATTTTCAGATACTACTCAAGGTTTCTGCCTCCAAAGGTACGTAAAGAAGTTTGGGTTTTCTGATAGTTTCTTGGGGAGAGGATTAGGGACCCAGGCCTTGAAGTTTGGCGGTGAAGGAGAGCAGGGTTAGGCAGACCAAATCCCTCCAACAAAAATCAACTAGTTTCGCCAAGGAGCATTTGTACACAAATAGTACTACAGTCTTTCTTGTACGGAAAAAAAGCTGCGCAGGGGCTAGGCCAAATGGCTCCCTCGCCTCCTCTGCAGGCCCTGAGCCCAGACTTCGGGCGCCCACGGGGCTTTAGGACCTTCAGGCAGGAAGCGGAAAGGCCCCCAAAGACGGCTTCAATCCCCCGCCCTCCCCATCGGTTCTTCGCTTGGCCCCAAGTCCGGCTACTGGGGCGCCCAGAGAGTCAGGTCGAGACTTATGCCCCGAGGAAGGCTGCCGGCCGACTCACCTCCCTGCTGCCTGCTCTCCCGGGTCCTCGCTGGAGCCGACGCTGCTTAAACGGCTGCACGTGCAGGACGCCGCTCCAACAACAAATGGCACTAGGCGACGAGAGGCATCAGCCAATCAGCGCTCAGAAGGCCAGCGTCGTCCCACCTCCATCTCCAGCCGCGCGTACCCTACTTGCTCCCAGTCGAAGCCGCCGTGGGACCCACAGGTCTTTTCGCAGAGTGGCCCGTTGGGCCTGTGAGTACAAGGCTGGCCGTGGGCCCCTTGTCTATCTAGAATCGTGGGTGGGATCTTCAATCTGGAGAGGCTCTAGATTTTCCCTATGCAAACGATGCAAGCCAGCGATGACCGCCTCTATTTTTCTAACACCAAATATCAAAGGGAAGAGGGGTAATGCTTTCCACCTTACACCTGTAGCTTTCTCTGCCCTTTTTCCTACTGCGGCCCCTGCAGTTTCCCCTTCTGGTTGTTTCTGAGGCGCTTGCTTCACATCCGGGGATTCCTGGTGCTTGAATGAATGTGCGGCTGAGGCCGGCGGAGGTGGTGCGTTTTCTTTTCTTCCTAGTGAGGGCAAGGATGAGACTCTGCCGGCTGCTACCCCAGGGAGTTGGGAAAAAAAGTTAGACTGTTGTATAGAGTTCAGGGTCCAACTCTGGAAAGGAGACGCCGTCTGACCCGCAAGGAAATTGTGCTAGCGTAACTCGTTCATCAAGGCTTGGATCTGTGATCCACCAGCACCAGGAGTATTGGTCAAATCTAAGAATGACCGAGGGTCATTTTCGTATTCCGGCTCTCATCAATCAGATATTTTTATTCTGCTCCACAAAAAAGTAGATGAAATCCTATAGTATATTCCCATCTCTCCAAAAAGTATAACAATGGACTGCTTACAAAGTGTAGTTTTTAGTTTTGGTTTTATTTCCATTATTTTTAATTCTCAAAATCTTGGAAGAAATTCCTGAATATTTCACTTAGAAATATAAATCCCGACATAGTCCGACATTCAGGCATAGAGGATGAGGCACTTTGCAGGTTAGCTTACTTTGTACATTTCAGCCCGAGAACCACCATGATTGATTCTGTCTCTTCCGCCAAGAATATGTCAGGATTTATCCAGTTATCACTAAATTTTCTAAGACTATTTTCAAGGTGAACTGTTTTTTAAAGATTATATTTAACAAAGGTCAAACCAGAATATGTTTTAACATAACTGTCATTTTTAATAATTTCTGGTTTTTTTAAACCAAATTTTCACATCATCCTTGAGGTAACCAATATCTCAAATCACTGTACATGTGTGGGGGAGAGCCATTAATATTCCTGGTGCCCTTAATTTGTATGCAGGATCCTCTGAGGTATTTTAAGTCACTTTGAATTGAATGTTATCCTCTCAAAATGTTTAATGTAATAAAATATTAAGTGAAGAGAGCAACATATGAAATTGTGTGGATAGAATGATAACCAACTAGGTTTTTTTTAAGTATGGAAAATTTGGGGATATTTTCTAAAATGAATAACTTTTTTAAACACTTAGCAAACATTCTTTGCTATTCACTCTTGGGTAGAACAGATTTTCGTTGCTTTCGGGAATTACAATGAAATGGTTCTTGATGAAACAATCACTAATTTTTGAGAGCTAGCTCTGGTGAAGAAAAAAATGAATTCTGATGAGAACTGAAGTTCAGTACTGACCAAAGGAAAAGTGAGCAATGGAGGAAAATAATATAATTCAAAAACTGAAAAAAGACAAAAATTGCAGGTTGCGGCCATGTATATCAATATTAAATGGAGGGAGAGGGGTTTATAATGTCTCTAAGATACCACAGTGCTAGTCACCAGAGAGGGGTTTTCAGTACACTCAGCAGGTTTCAGAGAGACAAAAATCTTATTTTTTCAGTAATGGCTAAGGCAATATTTACCAAAGTGTTGTACACATACCACTGATTTTAGGCAATTCATGGACGACTTTCATTTTGATAGTTATTTTAGTATTTATATTTATTTTAATGTCTATTAGAAAACTATATCTCATCAAACCTGTGATTTAAGAAATGTAATTGCTTAGAATGAGTCTAAAGTATATATTTAAGTTTTTAAAAGTTTACTCGATTAAATAAAAACTAAGTACAATGAGTATGCAGGAGTCTACGGCCATGCTACCCTGAACAAGCCCGATCCTGTCTGATCTCGGAAGCTAAGTAGGATCGGGCCTTGTTAGTACTTGGATGGGAGACCACCTAGAAAACCAGGTGCTATAGACATAAAAAATAAAAAAATAAGGGATTGAAGGTGACAAGGTCCTTGCAATCTGTGAGGTCAACCAAGGGTTGCCTCGCCTAAAAAACAAACAAACAAACAAACAAAACTGCTCTAAAAATAAGGTCTATTAAAATTTTTTTAAAGTGGAAAGGAAACAAAAAAATAAAAGAATCAAAACTCAGAAGTCAGTAAAGACTGACAAATTTGACAAGGGAAACATTGTGCAAATGAAAATGACTCAGGATCTGGGGACAGGTCACTAGAGAGGTTTTCTCCATTGTAAAGTAAAACTATTTCATCAGCACCTGTTCTGATTGCATGCTCACTTAGCAATTTCCTGATTATTCATTCTCAACTCCCCCAATTATATTGATGCTGAGAAAGGAGGTGCAGTGGATAAGACTCATTTGTTCCCCATTATGAATTAATACTGGTTTAGAAATAAGTCTCGAGTTTAGTGTTGCTGAGAGATCCTGCTTGTAATCAACCAGACATCCTAGATGACATAACACATTCAGTGGCCCCTAAGTGTGTTTACAAGGGTATGTAATGACAGTCTAAAATATGCGAAGGGTAAAAAGTTACATACTGTGTCAAGATACTTTGGGCAATCCTTCCTAAGACAATGTTTCATCAGTGAATTGTGGAATTTGCTGAACAGTCACTAGGAAAGAAATATATATCAGCGTCTAGGCTTTTTCATTTATTCCCACTAGATATTAGCTATACCTTTTCTGTGTTCCAAATGGCAAAGGAAAAGTGATTATGAGTGTCATCACTGTCAGTCATCCTAGGTATAAAAGAGGAAGTATTTCACCTCAAGAAGAGAAGTAGTAACAGGGTCCTGTCAATGACCAGGGATGAATCTCTTTTTGTCTATCCCTCCTAAGACTGAAGAGTTGAAGCTTTCAGTTAGGGAGGAAGAAATCACTAGCAATTGGCCAAGAAGTCTGCACTGGTAATCTTGGTCCATTTATTAAGCATGTGACCTTGGGCAAGTTATTTAATCTCTGTGTAAAATGGGGATAACTAGGGCCACAAGATACAATTCTGGAGGTTGGACCAAGCCAAAGGCACCAAGCCAAAAGGAAAGAAGGAGCTAAACTTAGCTGGCACTCCACCTACCAAGCCTTACACCCGCAGAGCCACAGCTACCCATATGAAGTACCATTTTGTAATTCTCACAAAGGTTGAATTCCTTCTATTTTTAGATATTTACAATGGTTTCTATTTCCCTGGCTTGTCCCTGACTGATACGGGGATTTTACTGAAATTTTTTTTTGCCTGAAATCTGTCTTAGAATTCTAAATCTTTTATTTGGTGCGTAATAAAAAGACTATAAATTTAGGACTTCACAAGGAGTTATCCACACTTGCTCTTCTCACTTTCCCAACTTCTTTCATTCCTGATCTCATTGTAGTCTGGGTTCTGCCACATTGCTTCATTTGAAACTGCTGTTGGCAAAGTCAAATAGCAACACTGACCTCCCTGTTTCTAAACCAAATTGACTGTTTTTAATTCTTAACCTCACAAATCTTTTAGCAGTCCTTAACACTGCCAACTACTTCTTTGCACAAATATTCTATATATAACCGAATAGCTATATGGAAAAAAATCAAGTTCTTCACACCATATAGCACATACAAAATTCGAATGTAAAAACAATAAAACCTTGCAAATACTAGAAGAAAACATTGGTGAATTCCTCTATATTTAGAAAAGTGTTCCTATTTGTAATTCAAAATCCAGAAGCAATAACTTTATGTACTATAATTACATAAAGATTAAAATAAAACTTTCATGACAAAAAAAAAATAATAACGAAGCCAAAGGATAAATGACAAACTGGGAAAAAAATGTTTCCAACACAATCTAGAAAAAGGGTTACTATCTTTAATAAAGAGAGGACATCTAAAAGTGAAAAAGGAAAAGGTC